TTCTCTGTGGGAGCTCCCACCCTCTGGAATGAACTACCCCCAGAGATCAGGTGATCCCTGATCTCCCTTCCTTCCGCCGCGCCCTTAAGACATGGTTATTCCAGCTTGCGGGACTGGCCTAGGGGAAACTTTTAGAGGGGGTTTTAATTATAATTTTAATTAGACCAATTACTAATATTTCCCTTTTAATTAACTTTTTAAATTTGTAGTGTGATTTTTGTATTTTTATCCGGTTGTCAGCCGCCCTGAGTCCGCAAGGAGAAGGGCGAGATATAAATCTAAAAAATAAATAAATAAATAAATAAAATAACCTAGTGCTTTGTTCCCAGCTGTTTTTTGCTGTTTCTAGGCATCTTGCCAAATTCTGAGTCAATACAGTTGTAGTTTCCTGTAACCCTCCACTAGGTGTCACTGTTCATTTCCCAACTTTAAAAAAACAAACAAACAAAGAGTTATTTTTGTTCTTCTTTATATATATATATAAAGGTTAGAAGGCTTTCCCTGAATAGAATGGAATGACTGCCATCGTTCCAGAATCGCCAATGCACCCTTCTTTTCTTTGCCCCCTCTCCAGGGCAACTTAGACCCATTTAGGGTCCCCTGGCAGGGAGAAATTAGCCATGGGGGTGCAGTGATCCGTAATCCCGCAACCGGGTGCTACCATGCAAAACCTTAAGTCCTTGACTCCCTCTTCTTTGTGGCAGCCCCTGATATATTGGAACACTGCTATCATGTCATTCCTTGTCCTTCTCTTCATTAAACTAGACATACCCAATTCCAGCAACCATTCTTTGTATGTTTTAGCCTCCAGTCCCCTAATCATCTTTTTTGCTCATCTCTGCACTGTTTCTAGAGTCTCAACATCTTTTTTATATCATGCAGACCAAAACTGGATGCAGTATTCCAAGTGTGGCCTTATCAAGGCATTGGGAAGTGGTATTAACACTTCACGTGATCTTGATTCTATCCCTCTGTTACTGCAGCCTAGCACTGTGTTGGCTTTTTTGGCTGCTCCAGCATATGGTTGTTTCATATTTAAGTGATTGTCCACTTGTGGTTTCTGTAGTCTACTCTCTTGGAATATTAGAGAAAAGTAGTGGAATTGGACACTGTTGTGATAGAATCTATTTTAATCATTTCTAAAATGTATTTGTCATATACTAAATTTAAAAACAGAGTAAATATTTAAAAATGCAAATATCAGAAAAGTAAAACCATAAATGAAATTCAGAATGTACGATTAAAATCTTTGTACATAGGTATCATTCTGGTAAAACTGGAGTTGAAAAAAAATGATACAAATGCCCAGTGATAAAGACAGCCTTTTATAGTGTTGGGGAGGAGTCACATATTTGGTTTTACTTCTGATTGCTCAGTTCTGCAAAGGAAGCTCCTCTAGCTTTTCAGATATACACCTATTTCCTAAGATGATGGCCATCACAGAACCCATTAAGTCTTGTTTGTGCTTTTAATCAAATACTCCAATTTCTGAAGTTCTTTTTTTTTCTTTCAGATTCTTGCTTATTTGAGGAATGTCCACTTCAACAACAGTGCTGGAGATGAAATCTCCTTTTCAGAAAATGGAATGGGATCTGCTCGTTATGATCTCCTCAATTGGATTCTCCACCCCAATCTATCTTTTGTCCCACAGAAAATTGGCCAAATAGATCTTGGGGGTCCCCCAGGCCAGGATTTCACCATTAACTCTGATGCAATCATCTTTGCCACAAAGGTGAGTTGGAAGGAAATATTGTAAGTTCAGGGAGAGATTCATACTTTTCTGGGGGTGCAGAATATCCTTCTAACTTGATCAATACTTTCAGAAATAGACTGGGATCTGCTTGTTATGATCTCCTGAATTGGGTTGAGTTGAGTTCCAGCTCAATGCCACAAGCCTTTCTTTCAAGGTTGAGGTCCCAGTTCCCATCTCCAACATCCATTGGTGGGTTGGCAGTGCCACCGATCTGAATCACCCAGGAGGGGTTCCTGGTTTATGGTACACCATAGTGAAGATAAACTATTGAAGATATTTTGAAGATGAAAATAGGAACATAGAAACATTTTTTTAAAAAAAGCATTCTCATTGCTTAAACCATATCAAATATTTTTTTTTTCTTTTTTAGAAGGTGCCCTTTGCCAGGTGTGGCATGAAGAGGTGCCATGCAGGAGAGAGGAGAAGAGTTCCAGAAGGCAAGGAGGTTTGCTGCTACCAATGTGACCCTTGTCCAGATGGGACCATTTCTAATCGGACAGGTAGACTTCAAATGTAGATCTTCCACAATCAAACATTCAGTAAATGATAACATTGACCTTTCTGGTCATTCAGTATTCATATTTTTTCAGCCGAACCTCTCAGTTTCTGAATCTAAACTGCCTTCATCAACAAGATACTTTTTCTGCTTCACATCAATTTAATGCTGGGTAGTTTCAAAGCATGTTTTTATTTAGCCTTTTTATCATCAGGAAAACTGATTATCAATCATTTCCTGAAGGAGTGGGGTGTGAAGGTTACATGTGGAATACTGCATCCAGTTTGGGTCACCATGATGTAAAAAAGATGTTGAGACTCTAGAAAGAGTACAGAGAAGAGCAACAAAGAGGATCAGGGGACTGGAGGCTAAAACATATAATTTCTGGAATTGAGTATGTCTAGTTTAATGAAAAGAGGGAGTCAAGCTATTCTCCAAAGGACCTGAGGACAGGACAAGAAGCAACGGATGGAAACTAATCAAGGGGAGAGGCAACCTAGAACTAAGGAGAAATTTCCTGACAGTTAAAACAATTAACAGTTAGAACAACCTGCCTCCAGAAGTTGTGAATGCTGCAACACTGGAAGTTTTTTAAGAAGAGAACATTTATCTGAAATGGTATAGGGTTTCCTGCCTGAGCAGAGACCTCCAAGGTCCCTTCCAACTGTGTGTCTATTCTATTCTATTCTATTCTATTCTATTCTATTCTATTCTATTCTATTCTATTCTTATTCTGTAAGATGTGCTTTTTCTGTCAGCACTATTGATTTCCCATGAAATTGATAGACCTGTAGGAGATCCTTTTATCTATGTTTCCTAACCCTTCCCTGAAAAAAAATATCTGAATATGTGGATTTGACAGGGCAGACAGGTTCTGTCAGAGACCTATTGTGACTCTGATTCTTTATTTTCTCCCTCGTATAATCAATATCCCCTAAAACACTTTTGATCAGAAAAAGAGACTTTTCACAACATTCAGTATACATTTTTATATCCTCCTCTTTCTCAATTTGTGATCTTCTCAGCACACACCAATTTACAGACACACAAAATAGCAGAATACATGCTGGACTAATGTATAAGCCTTTTGGTGTTCCAGTATAAAGTGTGTGAATGCATGTTCCAGAGGAGGTTGACAATCTTTCTGACATTGAAAGCCACAGTAGTCATGGAAGTGTCCAATCACTGCAGAGGGCCTTATTTCTTTGGTGAATTGATCACGCCATCAGAAGGAAAACAGATCCTTCTCTCGGGCTAACCTAACCCAAGGGTCATCATGAATGAAGGATAGTTTACCCATTTGTATATCTCATAAAGTGCCCAGTGAGTCATTCTATCAGTAAATTTGTGGATTGGCCCCAACAGAAAGGTGACCTTCATATCACCTCTTACCACATATAGCAGATGCCCATAAATCCTTTGACAAAGGCTCTTGATTTCAGATGCAGCTCACTGTGAACCTTGCCCAGAAGATCAATATCCCAACAAAGACAAAGACTACTGCATTGCTAAGAAGTTCCACTTCCTTACCTATCAAGATACCCTGGGATGCACTTTGGCTTCTCTAGCTCTTTTCCTTTCTTTGACTACATCTGCAATCCTGGTGATTTTCCTTAAACATCACAACACACCAATTGTCAAGGCCAACAACCGAGATCTCACCTACATCCTCCTGGTTTCCCTCCTGCTCTGCTTCCTCTGCTCCTTCCTCTTCATTGGTCAGCCTGACAAGTTCACCTGTCTCTTCCGACAAACTGCTTTTGCCGTTCTCTTTTCCCTTGCAGTTTCCTCTGTGTTGGCAAAAACTGTCATGGTGGTTCTGGCCTTCATGGCTACAAAACCAGGGAACAAGACAAGAAAACTCTTAGGAAAACCACTGACCAACCTCATTGTCTCAGCTTGTCCCCTGGTCCAAGCAGTTCTTTGTGCCATCTGGCTGGCAACCTGTCCCCCATTTCCCAACTTGGACTTCTATTCTTTGGTAGGAGAGACCATCTTGGAATGTAAAGAAGGCTCAGCTTTGATGTTTTATGCTGTCCTGGCCTACCTTGGTTTCCTGGCTCTCATCAGTTTTACAGTGGCCTTTTTGGCTAGAAAATTGCCTGATAGCTTTAATGAAGCCAGTTTCATTACATTTAGCATGCTGGTCTTTTGCAGTGTTTGGATCACCTTCCTCCCCACTTACCTGAGCACAAAAGGGAAGTCCATGGTTGCTGTGGAGATCTTCTCCATTTTGGCCTCTGGGGCTGGTCTCTTGGCCTGTATTTTTTCCCCAAAATGCTACATTATCTTATTTAGGCCCCATTTGAATTGTAGAGAAGATATAATGAGACACAAGAATCTCTGATTTACGTGTGATTGGGAATTTTTTTTTTTACTTTGGTCATTTTGAAATTTGATTTTTTAAAAATCATAAAATGGGAGAGGACTACTTGTATTAAATAACTGAAAATCAAATTATGTGCCTATCAACAAAATAACTATTAATCAACAACAATCATCATCATCTTCTTCTTCTTCTTGTGCCATATCCATTATTAGACGTTGGCAATCATGTTGGCAATCCTGTTTTTATTAGCAGCCGCACAAAAAAGTGCTGCTGAGTTTTGTCCAAACCAGTCCCTTAGATTTTGAAGCCACGATGTTCTTCTTCTGCCTGGACCTTGTTTGCCTTCAATCTTTCCCTGGAGGATTAAATGGAGTATGCCGTATTTTTCTGGGTGTCGCATCACATGTCCAAAATATTCTAATTTTCATTTTTTAATTGTTTTTATGATTTCCCTTGGCTTTCCCAGGTGGCTTATCACCTCCTCATTTCTGATTTTGTCAACCCAGCTTATATGTAACAGCCTCCTGTAAATCCTCATTTTAAATGCTTCTAGTCTCTTCAGGTGGCCTTCTGTCAGAGACCAAGTCTCTACTCCATAGAGCAGGATAGAAAAAATATAGCATCTGACAAGCCTGATTTTCAGTCTTAGGCTTATGTCGTGACTGCAGAAGACCTTTTTCATTTTGAAGAATGCTGTTCGAGCTTTTTCTATCCTTGTCTTTACTTCAATGGTCATGTCCCAGCTTTCATGTAAATTGGAACTGAGGTGTGTGATCCTTTCAACTTTTTCTAGTGGTATTCCTTCTGAATTTATTGGTGATAAATTAACGGGTTGTTTGCTGATGACCATGATCTTGGTTTTTGAGGTGTTAAGCTTCAAGTCTACTCAACAATCATCTACCATTTTATTTCTTATTAATTCCATTTTTCCCCACCAAGGCACCAGTGATCTATTTGGGGATATACAATATTAAAGATATGTGGATGTAGTTTGCAACAAGACAGTTTCCCACTTTATTTTCATTAAAAGAGTCTTTAAAAATATGTTGGATTGTGTTCACCCTCAATGTTTTTAAATACCCTCAGTGTTTTTAAGCAAATATTTCCATAGATCACCAGCAGCAAGAACAATGGACAGTTACAGGAAGTCCTTGACTTATAACCACAACTGAGACTGGAATCTTGGTCACTGAGCAAAACTTATTTTCCCCATCCATCTAGGCTGCCCTACATGGTGGCACTTAGTTACAGCACTGGGTCTGGGCCTGAAGTAGAGACCCAACCAGTTGCCACCAACCCCAGGCCTCTATGAGACCCCTTTTTGACCAGAAATCCAATGTTTCTATTAACAGTTCTGAGCAAGCATATGTGCCAATGGCTTTACAGGCCCTCAAGGCCCTGGAAAATTCCTTGGGAAACACCCAATTTCCCTAGGATGACACCCAATATTCTTGGAAGACTTCTAAAGGCAGTGGATGTATTTCTGTATTTCTTTCTCTTATCTAAAGTGAGCCAGTTTGTCTGGGTGGAGTGTGCCAGTGCTTCTGGTTGGAGAAGTGGACAATGTAACAAGCATATAAATATGAGTGTCAAAATGTGCTAAAAATTCTCACTTGCTAAGTGGGGGGTGACATCTTTATTCAGCTGAATAAACACATAAGCTTATCAAGGTAAACACCTGGACTCTGCCTTTCTTTATACCAAGCCATACCTGAAACCAGCAAAACACCCTTGAGCCACTGCTGCCACTGAAAGATGCTGTCAGGGTCTACTTCAAAACCTTGTCCTAAGAAAGCAGAACTCATGGAAGCAGTTTCTTCCAAAAGGAACTTTTATTAGGAGAAGCTGATAGCAGGCATAATAGACAGGATCTGAGGGTTTCCCACTCAGATCAATAGGTTAAAGGAATCCCAAGCAAACCCCACCCCAATAGTTCATCCGGTCAGTTCAAATGGGCCAATCCCCAGGTGTTAAGTCCATTGTGGGAAAGAGCTGATAACGCCAGTCTGTCTCAGGTTTGTAGCAGTGTTTGTTGGGTCTTTCCACCTTCCCTTCCGAAACAGGAGATAAGCCAAATGCCCGGAGGTGCATTCCTGCCTCCCCTCTTTGAGCTGACATCAAGGGGAAATGTCAGCACTGCTAACATTGGATGTTCTTGCTTTGACAACATATGGAGAGGCAGCTTTTATCTTTCTTATACTTTACTCTTAGAATTAGATGATATTGGGGGAGGGGGAGGACTGTGATGGGAGTTAATTAGATATATAAAATTGTAACAAGAGCTGATAAGACTTGGCGGGAGAGAAAACTGGGCAGAAAGCCAGCATTTCAAACTAATTGGAGAATGTGATTTATGACTGTTAGTTGTAGGAGGGAATTGTACTTTGATCTATGTGCTGAAGGGAGAGGAAGTCAGATTTTGGCTTCATCTATGTATGTGCCGAAGCTATGCTGCTCGAGTAAAGATTCTTTAAGGTAAACAATGCCTCAAAGTTCTTTGAAGAGTTTCATCTTTCGGAACCATGACAGGAAGACAGTTCAAAGAGTATGTATGCAGAGACAGCAAAAGAGTTACATTGTAGCGATAGAGAAAACAAAGAGGCAGCCCACAGAGTTTTCCCCCTTCCCTTCCAGGAGCTTGGCAGAACCCAGTAGAACAGAAAGAATAGAATTAGAAAGAGCCCCTTAATTAAATATGGGTTCTGACAGATGCATCATTCTGCAAGGTGTTCTAGCCTTGGGGAATACTACAATGCCCCTATTGCTCAGCATTCTCCTGGATCTGCCTCTCACTGCTTGCCTTCAGGTGTTTTTTCTCCTGCTGTTCAGCTGCCTTTCTCAGTGGCAGCAGTGGTGCTGAAGTTGACATGGAGGCTGAGAGCAGTGGCAGCTGGCTGAGGCTGCTAAAGTCCCCACATTTCTTCAAGCCATATCCCACTACTGGTGCCAACAGCAGTGCCACACTGCAGGGCTGGGCAGCTATAGCTTTAAGATGCACCACCCATGCAGCTCACACATGGTCTGCACTGTGTGCCTTCCAGGACTTCTCCCACTTCATGAGGCACCTCCACACTCCCCTTAACAACCCATGTTTAAAAACTGCAACCAGAAATGCAGAGATTGTTATTGCCGACCAAAGTGGTCTCGTGGATGCCTTGCTTAACAACTGCTTCACTCAATGACCGAGATTCCAGTCTCAATTTTGGTTATAACTCAAGGACTTCCTGTAATTGTCCATCATCCTTGCTGTTGGTTGTTCTCTTCTTATTTTTAGGGTTAAGGTTATTATTATAATATTAAACATATTGGGTAAGATTGCCCATGAAGTGTGTTCTCTAGTTCCCTAGAAAACCTGCACAAAGCAATGCTAGAGGCAATTCCTGGATACATGAATTGGACATCCAGTTATGAAACCATTGCTGTACTCCTGTAGAAGTTTTGTGTATAATTACATGGATCAAGTGTATATGTCTACTTCTCTTCTATCATGTTCTTATCATATACTAAATAATAATAATCCCCTTAACCTGATCTTTAAGGTCTTCCAAGAGAGCACCCATCACCAATGTAACTTATTCCTTCCCTTTTGCTGGCAGTCATCTTTTTTTCAAACTTTCTAAGCATCAGAGACTCCGCATCATGTGTCCAAATCCATTTTGGCCATAAGAAGGCAGTGAAGAAAGAAAATCTAAAACCTGACAATAGTTCAACTCTTAACTTTTCAAATGTTATTTATGCACAGAGACTTCTAATCAAGCGTTTGATCAATGAATAAACAAGGTATATCAAGAAAGTTAAGTTACAGTTAGCTGTTGGTTCAGATGATGTGGTCCTGCTATCTCCTTTTTTTACAGAAATAATGTCACATACTCTTTTGATTTGGATGAGTCCTGGCTTGAAAGATATACCAATGGCTTAGAAACATTCATTGTAAACCTTCCGGTATCACTGAAAGTGAGTTGGACAGCCATAATTTTAAATAAATAAATAAATAAGATGTATTGGCACAGTGCTTAGAATGCAGTATTGCAGACTAATTCTGCTGACTGCCGGTTGCCAGCAGTTTGGCAGTTCAAGTCTCACCGGCTCAAGGTTGACTCAGCCTTCCCTCCTTCCTCATTTGGTAAAATGAGGACCCAGATTGTTGGGGGCTCATATGCTGACTCTGTAAACTTCTTAGGGAGGGCTGTAAAGCACTGTGAAGTAGTATATAAGTCTAAGTGCTATTGCTATTGCTAAATAAATTAATAAACCATACATACATACACACATACATACACACATACATACACACGCATATATACATA